CGATCCGACGTTTTGTTTTTTTTCACCGACACTGCAGTGCTACTCAAAAATTTTAACATCTGTAGTGCACACTTAGAGATTAATCCAGCTGGTACCTGAAAGCACTTCTATAACCTTTTCTTGTTTGTCCACAGAACAAACTGCACCTATCGCAGCCCTGCAACAAGTCCCTAAGACACTGGGGGCTATTGATAAGTATGATGTTGGCCTCATCAAAGATTGTGAACCTGTTATCATCACTCCAAAATCAGATTTCAGACCTTGCAAGGCTCAACATCCATTTAAACAAGAAGCCATTGATGTCATAACACCAGTCTTTGACTCCCTGAGAGCAGCAGGAGTAATTGCTCCCTGTAACGACTCTCCAGTGCGCACGCCTTTGTTCCCTGTTAAGAAAATCAGAGACAAAGATCAACCAACAGCTGTGTCCATGATTTTACTTGAACAAAAAACTTCTCATCTCTCTACAGCACGATGGCTACGATACAACACAGTCCTTCTAGAAATGTCTAACATCACTGTCAAAAGATGCAATGTTTTAAACCCTCCCCACACCAGACGATGGAGAACAACATAACTGTGTTGCTGTCCTCCAACAGGTTTGCGCCCCAAGACCAGATCTACAAGAAACACCTTTAACAAATTCTGATTTGGTTCTTTTTGTAGATGGATCTGCCTCATGCAACCCACAAACTGGTCGCAACAGAGTTGGCTTTGCTGTTGTCACTAACTTTTGCTCCCGCAATCAATTGGTTTGTAAATGTCTTGCTCACATTAACAACTCAGACCCTGTCTCTCTAGGAAATGCTAGAGCTGATGCCGCTGCAAAACAAGCCTGCAAAAAGAGCCTTACTCCAGCCACCTAGGATCACTGATCCTTTATTGGTATCGATTTCTGTCACTGTTCCCACCTCTATCACAGCAATGCAATCTTCCGCCACACCTCAGGAAAAGACGCTGTGGAAACGCTGCGATGCCACACAAAAGGATGCAGTATGGCGAGGACCTGATAACAAACCTTGCCTACCTAAACACTTCTTTCGTCACTTTGCATATTTGACACATGGGTTGGACCATGTGTCAAAAGGGGGAATGTTGAGTGCCATAACCCAACACTGGTTCACCAAAGGGTTTTCAGTTCGAGCGCTGAAGTTTTGTCAATCGTGTATGGTTTGTGCAACGCATAACGCAGGTTAAACCAAAACAATCACACACGCCGCCCACCCACCCACCACCAGACAGACCATTCGAACACTTAATGATGGATTTCATAGAGCTGTCACCTAGTGGTAGCAAAGGCTCTGTTAACAGAAATCATTCCGAGATGGGGAATACCAATTTAACTGAGCAGCGATAATGGCTCTCACTTTGTAAATTCTGCAGTAACCCAAATCAGTGAATTTCTTGCCATTGACCTCAGACAACATTGTGCATATCACCCTGCCAGTGGGGGTGCTATCGAACGAGAAAATAGACTCCTGCAGGCAGTCGAGGACGCGGTCCGGCTGGGAGCGGTGATTGAGGTGGGTCCTGGGACACCGCGCACCACCAGGCACCGACGGAGAAGGGTCCCCCCCGCCAGTGCCAGGCCACACAGGAATCCCTCCGCACGCCAGCAGGGAGGTGTTCTTCGTGTCAGCGTCCGGTGACGCGTGGGAGCTGGTTGCCAGAAGAGCGGTAGTGTGTCCTGGAGGGTTGCTTGGAGGGAGAACAGGTTGTGAGTAGAGTGGATTTTGATTTGAGCTCCTCGGACAGTTTTTAAATACGTAGTTTGAGTATGGTTGTTTTATTTGCCTCGTGAACCGCCTCAGTCTTCTCAAGGAGTAGGGACTCGCTCACTCTCTCACTCATGCTCGCTCTCTCGCTCATGCTTACTCTCTCGCTCATGCTCGCTCATGGCCCAGATAAAAATCTGCTTTTTATCTGGACACCACACGTGGCACTCCTTCATCATGCAGCTCTTCAGAAACTCTCCCTCGGTAAATGGCAGGACTGATATGGCTATCTCCTCTGTCCTTTGTGATGTTTGTCTGGTGAAAAATGACTGCTGAAATCTCAGTCTTCTTTAACTCTTCTACTTTCTGTATCTTCTGTTCTGCATTCAGGTTTTGGAGCTCCTGATGTTTTGTCTCGTAGTGCAGTTTTATATTATATTCCTTAACTACATCCACATTAGCTCCACAAACAAGATACACAGGTTTACTAGCAATGCTGGTAAACATGTACACAGCCTCCCACTTCGCAATAACTTTGCAATGGCATTGAATACGGCAATATGCTTGACTTGATTTACGCACTGGTGTTTCCAGTTAACCTCAACAACTGGGGCACTTACTGCATTTGGGGATCTGTAGTTTGTGTGTTATCAGTGCTTCATATCGCTGGGCCATTAATAATAATAAAAGATCTATATAAAATGATCTTGCAGGCTGGATATAATTGTACGCCGGGCCGGTTGTGGCCCGTGGGCCTTGAGTTTGACACATATGTATAAACAGTATCCAGTGTTTACTCTAGCTTTTTCACTTTAGCACTTTGACGTTGATATATGTATGACATATGTCTACGTCATACAGGGTAGCAGGAGTTGAGCCAGTGCTGTTTTTGGGGCAAGGAGAGATGCTTAAGCTTGCATCCACAAGAGAACGTGCAGCGTCCACATCATTAAGTACTGTCCTTTTGAAGAATGCAGATATTTTTCTGTTAGGGTGCATCCATTGGGACAGCTCGGGGCTCCATGACCAGTTTTTTTTTTATTGTTTTGTTGCCAGCAAACATGATGGAAAGGAGCCAGAACCCCAGGTTGTCAAAACCATCCTGAGCAAAACTGCCAGGGAATGAGAAGCAAGCGCATGGGACCAGAATACCAGAATTAGTGGTGCTGACATGCCGTGCCTTATGGCATGGCATGTAAGCATGCGTGTGTGTTGTGAGATAGACAGAGGAGCGAGCGGAAAGCCCCACTCGCTGCAGAGATACATTTTTCTTGAAAGTAATGAAACTTCAGAGTCTGAAATTGCCCAAATAATATTTTTATGGACAGTTTTCTATAGAAACGTATTTTTAATCTATGACTTCAATTTTTGGGTTGGGATCTCGTTGGAAGTGTGGGGGTATCCGTATCCGGCCCCACCCTGCCAAATACACTATGGGGGAAACACTGGTATCAGTCTGACACTTCACCCTTACATCTGGTCCCATAGGAACATATGTGTTCAATCACTTACAGACTTTGCTGCGGAGGTCCCAGAGTTTAAGCGTGCGGTCATAGCTTCCAGAGACGATGCGAGCGTTATCCAATAGGAAACGAGCAGACAAGACCTTTCCACTGTGACCTGTCAAAGTGTGCTAAGGACACACACACAAGCACACACAGTCAGAGGACAGAAAAAAAGGTTTAACAAGGAAGTAGTGTCTGTTCTTCACCTGTGTTCTGATCGACTGAACTTGAGGGCAAGGCCTAACTGGGCCTTGGGTAACTAATGGTCTCAGGTTACAGCTTACTGCTTTAAGTGAGGCCTGCTAGAGTTCTCACTGATACACATGCCTTCTAATCAGATATCTCTCACTGAATGGACCCTGCAGCTGATCCTTTACCAAACTTTCATGTTGATGGAGTTTAGTAATGGAGAAATACCCTAAAACAAACACTGAGGAGAGCCTTGAATCAGATCATAAGCATCCACCTGTTTTAGTATGTCAGTGATGATCTAAGAATTAGCAGAACTGAAAGACCCAAATATTAATCTGGACTTATAAAAATTCATCTCTGGAGTTTGACTTGTGTCACCACTGACTAAAAATATTTAGTCATACAGTCTGCTGTCATTACATAAAAGGGATATTTCATATTAAAGGTGGGGTGCGCAGGATTCTGTTTAAGAAGCATCTTTTTTTGTGGTGTATATACAAAAAAGCTTTTAGTATCAGTCAATAGCTATTAGTTATTGATGACATTTGGTAATATAATGATATCACTGTGTTTTGTTGTCTGTGTAGTCAACATTTTACATTTTTTGAGCGGCCTGCTCTTTCTGGCTGTAAACAAAGTCATTCTCCACCTCCCCCAACCTGATTGGTTGTGAGGCAGACGCTGCTCCTTAGTGCTGATTGGTTGTGAGGCAGACGCTGCTCCCCCGTTCACGAGCCCAAACAAAGTTAACATGCTACAATATCGGACAGTAGAAACCAACCAGAAAGTACGGAAAATTGTCTGAATCCTTCTTTGGCCACTACTGTCAACACAAACAAGAAAACAAAGTAAATACCGGAGACTCTGGAGGAATAACGGGCGCTTAAAAAAAGAGGTAGACAGTACAAGAGCTAAAAACTCAGTCAACATCAATGATTAAACAATGGGGGGCACTTTGGAATCTTACGGACCCTGTAACCTTTCTGCTGGACAGGTAAACAACTTTAACAAAGTAAGCCAAGTGTCTGTAATAAAGGTGTTTCCTGTCAAACAGGACCTTCTGTGTGTTGTAGCGCCGCTAAACTGTTTACCTCGGGTCCTGGAGTATGTCACTATGTTTGCTGGTAGCCTGTTGGCATCTACAATAGCACTAATGCTTTTTACTTTCACGTTGACTGGGCCCCATTTGTAATTATCGTAAGTATTTATCTGCATTATATCTGAATTTAAATGACATGATATGAGCGAGCAGGAGCGTCTGTTTGTGGGCGGGGCTTGCTGGAGCAGAGACTGGGGGGAGGTGAAGGAGCTGAGGGGAAAACTGGTTGGGGGGGTAGTGTTTATATTCAAGATTTCTCTCAAAAACTGGCACTTCCTGGATTCTGCCTACCCCACCTTTTTAATGATCATTTATTTCCCCTTTTATTATAAAGAGAATTGAAGCATCATCATGTCAGGCTGATCATCAATGATTTTTGTTTACCTGAAACTTAAGTCCTGATAATTAGTCCATAGTTCCTGAGTCATCATCAAAGTGTGTTTATAAAAAACAGATTTCACAGAGTGGAGATGTAGTCAGAGTCTTCATGGTCTCAGTAACAAAGTTAGATCAGCACTCAGGTCCCCTCAGTCAGATGCTCCAATATAATTGGTTGTGTTGGATGACAACATCAGTAAGCCTGCAGTCTCTATGCAGACTCTTACTGTGATGTCACATCCTGTCTGTCAGCAGCTGCTGAGACCACCACTGTACAACTAGAACATGATGGGAGCTGGGAGCTGGGGCTGCTGGGAGCGTAGATCGTGGACAGGGGTGGACTCTGGTGTTCAGACCTTTTACATGACATCACAGACCAGATGACAAACGGCAGATGCCATCATCAGATTGACTTCAAACTACAGACAAACAACAGACTGACCACAGGCCATCTTCAGACTACTTGAAGTCACCAGGGCGTAGGTCTGATTTAGCAGGACTCAGCTAGTTCTTCACACTGACCCTCACATTTTTCTAATCAGGTTCTTCTCTTTGATGTCACGCTCATTCCTGTCACCCTGTCTCAGTTTACAAACAGCTATTTCCTGTCAGGTATCTGTTCAGGTAAAGGTTCAGGGACAAGGAAAGCTGGGTGGACTTACCCTCAGTCTGTAGTCATCTACAGTCCAGATTCGACTTGCAAAGTCATTAGAGGCCGCCAGCAGGTACGAGCCCTGAGAAGAGGACACACCATCACACATGTTAACACAAACACACTAACACACACATGCATACAGTAACACACACAAACACACTCTATCAAAGTCCCCTTGTACCTTTTAAGACCTAAGCCGCTGCAGCTTCTCCTTAGAGAACACCTGTGCGCTTAAAGCCCAGCTCTTCTCCTTTGTCACCCCCCAGTGTCAAATTACTGAAACAAATGTCCCCCTCCACTGGGACAGTTTGTCCAGCTTTTTGGAAATGACTCTGCACTTGGTGCACCTGATGATGATAATGGGGGTAGCGGTGTTGAGGAGGATTTTATTTTATTCTATTTTTTTTATTTAACTGGATAAAAACCCATTGAGATCAAGATCTCTTTCACAAGGGTTACCTGGCCAAGAGGTCAGCAGCCCACATCACAAAACAAAACAAAACAAAACAAAACATGATTGAGAAGTGACAATGGACTGTAAGTTAAAATTCAAATTTTTACCTAAGTGCAAAATGTCTTGCAATCAAGTGCAGTAGCTTAACATAAATAATAATTTAGAAGCACAACACTGATTGATGGTCTCACACTGTCTGGCCGTTAACATGGAGCGAAAGGTCCTGAGTGAGATGAGCTAATGGAGTTTCAGCTCAAGAAGTTCCACGCTGTGGGGGCAGCAAAATTAAATGCTCTCTTTCCCAGTTCAGTTCTGACATGAGGGACAGATAGGTGGAGAACATCACAGGAGCATAGGGCATAGCGGCATTTAGTTTTTGAAGAAAAGTACATAAATAGGATGCAACTAAGCTGAGAAGAGCCTTGTAAATAAGGTTCAACCAGTGTTCACATACAATTCACAATGATGTGTGAGATGACCACCAGTGATAAATCTCAGGGTGCAGTGATAAACAGTGTTTAAGGACTGGAGACATTTCAATGAAGCACCCCTATACAACTCATCTCCGTAATAGATTAAAGGTAGAAATGTTGCTGACATAAGGAGTTTTCTGGCTCTAAGTGAGAAGCTTTGTTTAGGTAGTAAAAACCAAGCTTCACTTTGAGTTTGGTGACCAAGCCTGCAATGTGTGCTTTTAAAGAAAGCTCATGGTCTAGAAGAAAACCCAAATACTTATAGCTGAAGACCAACTCTATTGGGTTTCCTTCATGAGTCAACAGTCAGCATTTTCCCTTGTAACTCACTTGAATTGAAAAGACCAGTTTTGATTTTTTTTTTATATATACATATTTAAGATGATGATGATGAGGTTGTCAGAGTGACCTTATTTGGTGTTCCTCTTTGGTTGATGCTAGTTATGACAGAACTCTCTTCCTCTGATGTTTCCTTTTATCTGGATCTTTGCTTGTGTTGTTTTTGCTCTCAAATGTTAAAGCATCTGCTGAATGACACTGTAACACTGAAACACAAAAACACACTGGGACTGCAGCTGACGAATAAAAAATTTGTCAATTAATCTAACAAATATTTTTTCCATTCATCTACTAATCTATTGACTAATTTATCGATTATTCTGATTATTTTTTTATGACCTGATTAATAAAACAAATTTAATCCAAATAAAAATTTCAAACTTTGTAATTAGTAATAAATTGAATGATTTATTCAAGAATGTCTTGAAATCAAACAAAATAAACAACAGCTGTGCAACAGTGCATTTTTATCCATGCTTTTTTACATTCACAAAGCACTTAAATATTGCTTTTTAGCTAATTTTAAGTCAACGGTCAGTAACACTTGCACTTAGTGTTAGATGATATACCCTGCACCGCGGTATACTGTCAGTTATGCTTGACGGTGTCCATATTTGGATATCCGCAAAACCGAGATTTATCAGGCAATGGCATCCCAACAAGCGCTGTTACCCATATTTTGACTTCTTACATTCTTGGAGCCCCAGCCCCCCCAGCCCCAGGCCAAATCAAATCGAAGAAAAACAACAGTAGAAATCAGGGGTATGTTTAATAGTCAAAGTAAGAGCATTTCCACACGCACAATGCAAAAAAGGCTTCAGTTTGCTAGGTAGCATAAGGATTGGAATCTAGAGGAATGGAAGAAGGTCATGGGGTCCAGATTTACCCTGTTCCAGAGTGATGGGTGCATCAGGGTAGGAAGAGAGGTTCCTAGTGACTACTATACAAGCCTATGGGGGCAGTGCTATGATTTAGGGTTGCTACCGTTGAGGGTCGAGGTTCAGCAACATTATGTGCCCAAAGAATGAGGTCAGCTGACTACCTGAATATACTGAATGACCAGGTTATTCCATGAATGGAATTTTTCTTCCCTAATGGCACAGGATTCATCAGTTTCAAATTGTGGTTCAGGGGGCATGAGACATCGTTTTCACACATGGATTGGCCTTCATAGAGTCAAGACCTTAACCCCACTGAGAATCTTTGGGATGTGCTGGAGAAGGCTTTGCACAGTGGTCAGACTCCCCCATCATCAATAACAGCTCTTGGTGGAAAATTAATGCAACATTGGATGGAAATAATCTTGTGACATAGCAGAGGCTTAAGCCACAGCATAAGAATAACAAAAGCATAATAATAATAATATGGCTTGAAATGGCACATAATGTTGCAATGCATAATGGGGGCAACAGTGTTTGGATACATTGCAGAGTAAGACATGGCTCTTGATAAGTTTAATAGCTTGGAGAGACTCTGGTGTTGTTTTTTGCGATCCACTATTTTTTGCAAAATAACTGAAAGGACAAACTAGTGCCTTGCGGGACACTATCAGGCCTGAGCTTTGTTGTGCCGCCACCTCTGTGGACTGCCTCCCCAGCAGACCACTGCCCTGTCACACTGCCTGCCATCACCTGTGCAATATTCTCCATGGCAGCCACAACAGTTGTGATGGCTGGAGCTTGTGACTGCCTATAAGTGTTGTGGCTCATTTATGCTGTAAAAACATCAAAGTGAAAAGGACGCCATGGCCACACCCTTTGACCTACACAGGTGACTTTTTGATATATTTTTCTGTAAGGTCTCTTCTAAAGACTGCATGAGAAATAACATAAAAATGAAGCACAGCATTAGTTCTGGCAGGTCACGGCATCAAGCGTTGATCTGCAGCCAATGGCAAGTAGCCACCTCAACCAGCTGATGGTCAAGCTGATTTCCTCCTAGCTCCTATTGGTCATATGCCTTTAGAGCACCCTATTTAAAACTAACCTAACCCAGCCTCTTCCTCTGCTTCAACAGCCAACCAGCAACCCACCTCCACCCCAGCTCTACTCTTGTGCCGGCTAAACTACTCCACTACCATTGAATAGCTCCTCCCCCGGGGAGGTTCTGTTCATCACTGCTCTACCCCCTGTTGTTTCTGCCTTCATGATGCCTTGTAAAGGGCGGGAAGGTGCTCTTCCTGCCACTGGCATTTCACGCAAGTGCGTAGTAGGGCAGGGACCCAGAACAGAACAATGCCGTCAAATTTAACTTTGCACAATAAAGCTGAATTTTGACAAAGTGATCCTGACTGGACTGCAAATGGTTTACTTTAGAGGAGGCAATTTTAAGGCCCTTACAAAAAGCCCTTCTTGTCTTTGAGGGGTTGCTGTTGCCAAACAGCCTCCTTGCAAAAAGTTGTACATGTACATCAATCTGAAAGAAGACTATTTTGAGTACCCATGGCTGTTGAAAAAGCAAAGTAAATCAAAAGGATATCCCTCCTGATCTGTTTACCAAATTTCATGTGGTAGTGCATATCTGTAGTAATATCACAGATTGCTATTTTTTGGAGACAACTCTCCAAGCATGAGAATTGTAGGGTGCCCTAATGAGTCTTTTTTTCCCCCTTTATATAGGGGCATGGCAAAATACGCGACTTTGAGTGGGGCCCAAATGGCCTTAGGAGTTTTCAAGCCCGTCTAAAGGGTGTAAAAGTTGAAAACAGGTTAAAGCTTATAATAACAATAATAACTAGCACCCCGCTGGGCACCAACGGGCCTTAACTGTGTCGCGGCCCCATCTCTGTGGACCACCTCCCTTTTTGTTCATCTTGGGGTTGAACATTAGTGTCATTGATTACATGTGTTAGGGTCACACACAGGAACAGGGCCAACATTTAGAAATTTTGTAGGGGGCACTGTGGAGCCATTTTCAGTTGGATGTCCATTTGGACAATCTATAATAATAATATTAATAATAATAAATAAGTCCTGCAATTGCAATAGGGCTCTTGCCCGCTGTGGGCTCCATATTGACATTGGAGCCCTCAAGAGGACAGCCTTTCTGATCTGTGTACCAAATAGGCTTACAATCTGAATTTTTGTAGGGGGCGCTACAGAGCCATTTTTAGATGGATCTCCATATTGACATTGAGACCTTTTTGTTTGTGGTTGGTTTTGTGTCAAATTGTCTTGTGCTGGACCATTTTCCACTGACTAAAATCTTGTGGAGGTGGAACCAGTGTACAGCAAGTTACACAGGAAACTGTGAGCATGAAAACTATAGGGTGCACTAGTGAGCCATTTTTTCATTTATTTGGGGGCACAGCAAAAAATGTGCATTTGACTTGGGCCTGACCTGCGTGCCGAATTTCAGGAGTTTTATAGCCCGTCTAAGTGAAAAAGTTTGTGAAATGTTAATGTTTGTAATAATACTACTACTAATAATAAAATTTCTGCAATTTCAATAGGGCTCT